CATTATGTACGCATTCAGAAATAATTCAAATAAGCGAATGTCCGTTACATAAGAAATATGTGTCAACAAAACCTCCATAATCGTCGATGCTGCGGATGCTAGGCCTCGAGCTGTTCCGATTCCCAATGCGGCCACATTTTCAACTTCCCGTACATATGGATTATTGTACGGTATCGTTCCCCACTATAAATCTTTGTATCAATCGCTATGCTTTTCGAATGCTGCAGCAATCAACAGAATGGAAGCAACAGAATCAAATTCTTTGCTTTCACCATAATTCTGACAGTTACAAAGTTTGACAATGGAATAAAGCAGTCTAATTCACACATCAACCAAACATTCAATGAAACATAGAATCAGTGATTTGCAAAAATATCGTCATGTTCATTTTTTGCAATTTGGCTCAGTGATGTTGATGTTGATAATCTTTGGTGGACATTCAGTTGAAGTGAAACAGTATCAGTAGAGATTTGAGCAATACACAAACAGTTTTGGCAAGACATCACAGAAAGCGAAAAAATTAACGAGAAACGATCTCTTCAGTCAATTATCGCGTTCATCGAAATTGTACGAAGATACGGTATGGCATTGAAGCAACACAAAATCAGTTAGTTACACCCAATGAAACTCACTCTCAAAACAGACATCCATTCCGGATAATTCAGAGCACTTTCTGTGAAATTATCTCGTAATTTCAAATAGTTCCATAAAAAAGTCCGATACATCTTTCCAAGTGCAAATGCCTTGATGACCTCAGTGAGTTTCGATGGCTCTAAACGAGCAACACGATAGTGCAACGCGCGTGGTAAACCAATATAGAAGTCTTTATCTGAATTAGTATTTTACTGATTATTTTCCGAGATTTTTCAATCAATTTATGTGATTCTGAAACTCTGTGAGTGGTTTTTTGCTCATATTTAAGTTTCTCATCTGGGCGTCTCCCCTCCGTTAGAGTGAGTGTGTACCAGTTAGAGTGATGGTGCGCTAACCTTTTGATACATTAATGAGTTGATCGTGAACAAATGCTAACAATATGTATGTGGTGTTTGCATGAGATCCCAGGACCTGAGATTGAAAGACGCTCCCAAGATGTAATTTGACCCGGAGATTGAAAAACGGTCGGGATTTTGCAAACACTAATATAAGCATGTGCAATATGGATGCGTTGTTTTGAGAAAACATAAAACATTCCCATAAAATTAAGTGTCTGTCATTACAGCGCCTTTTCGAGCAAATGAACGAGCGGGAGAATGAATTAATGGGTAAGGAACGATTAAATGAGTGAGAACAGTTAATTAGGTATTGATGGGTCGAGAAAACAAGTGAATGGGTGATGGACGATTGAAAAAACGAGT